CTCTCCTCTCTATCGGTTCAAAAAGTTCAACTTCTAGCGCCTCCCTCCTTCTCAGCCGCACACAGAAATTCCTTTTTCCATTCCTTTTTCTTTTTTCCACACCTACTTTTTCGAAATTACTAATTAAGTCCAAAAAATATGATAAAATATTGATAAAAAGGTTATAAAAATAAAATAATTCGTAAAAAATATTTAAATTAACAAAACCGTTTCAATATTTCTAAATAAATAAAGAATTATTAATATTAATATTATGTGATATTTTGTTAATATTTTTCATATTTTATTAATTTCTTTTATTTTGTAATACTATGGAAATGTCGATTTATCCCTTACATTTTGATGTCGAACCCATAGATACGTGTGTTGACCAGTAAACAAATGTTTAATATCCTAATTAAGCCTCAAAATTTGACTTAAAATTTTAAGATGTTAGATTATAAAAAAAATCCATGAAATTTGTCCATTGTTTAAAAACAATATTGGTGTCCTTTTAAAAGTTTGAATACTACTCTTAATTTTTCATCCGTAAATACTATTTAGATAAACATCCGTTAATATTTTGAATGGAAAGTTGACGTGATAGAATCTAAAATGACGTGATAATTAACGTTGAAGAAACTATTATTTTAAAAAGGAAAATTATGGCAAATTTTAATATAATTTGACTTTTCTTTCTCTTTTAAAAATGATAGCTTTTTCCACATTTTTCTTTCTTGCTTCCATGTAAATTCTCAAGTCCTCCAGATTTTGTCATTTTCCGTTCAAAATATTAACAAATGTTTGCTCAAAATGTACTTTTGAAACGTTTATGTAACATCAAGAGTAGTATCGAAACTTTTGAATGATAAAGATATCTTTTGAAACGTTTATGTAACATCAAGAGTAAATTTTTGAATGATAAGAGTACTTTTGAAACAAATGGCAAAATACAGAGATTTTTTTTTAATTGTAGAATCTGTTTAGGGGAAAGAATACCCTGGACACGTGGAGGACAGCCATTGGTACCCCAAGGTGACCATGAGTCATGCCCCAGCTCGGACCGCCGAGATCACCACCACTAGCGTTGACAGATGCTGAGTATGAGGGCCGAGGTGAACCTGGCCGAGGTCCGACCTACCGGGAAGCTCGGTGGGGGCCGATGTGAGCTACTGTCAGCGGCGTGATTCTCGGGTGTAACCGTCGGTCCCGAGATTACCGGGTGTAACCGACGGTCCCGAGATTACCGGGTGTAACCGTCGCGAGATTAGCGGGACTACCACCCATAAGTAGAGGACCTCACTCCGCGATCAGGTACGATGATTTCTGACCTCGAACTAAACTGGGAAACCGACCTATACTGACTTGATCGTCGNCACCCATAAGTAGAGGACCTCACTCCGCGATCAGGTACGATGATTTCTGACCTCGAACTAAACTGGGAAACCGACCTATACTGACTTGATCGTCGAAGTGCTCACCATTTGTGCAGGTCCGCCCAAGTATTCAGATCGGTCCGGAGACCGAGTTCGAGCTGCAATCTGAAATACACTGTTGTGCATATCCTTGCATAAACAGAATCCATATCACAATTTTTTTACTACAAAAAGTGAAATTCGAACTCATGACTTCTTAATCAGAGACATGTGCTAATTATTACTAAACTAAGTTGATGTGGACTCCAATATCATATTTATAGACCAAGAATTGTGACTTATAAGAACTGTTTTTAGTTCTGTAATGGTTGAAATATTACCTTTTGAACTTTAATTATGTGATTAAAAATAGTTTTTTTTCCTTATTGGAAGGTGGGAATATAACCATAAAATAGTAAAGTATCTTTATCTACTTTGTGATGTTGGAATTCACGTGATTAAAATAAATTTTATTAGATATATATTGATTTTTTAGTATAACATGTGTGGATGAAGAATCGAACTCCCAATCTCTCCGAGATATATGCTAATTACCATTCAACTATGATACTTTAACACTAGTGATATATATATATATATATATTGATTGGTTTGTTTTGGAGTCAAATTCAAATTATTATACGTGAAAGTGGATAACTATTCAAGATAGATGATGTGCCAGTATAAATTTTTTTTTCTTTTTAAGATTATGTCAGATTTCGTTCCATTGTCTTATTTTGCAAAGTTATTTATTTACCATTTTCAAATGAAAAATCAATTTATTTGTATTACGGAGATGTCATATTATCATTTAATTAAATAAAAATATTTATTTAGTAATTTAATTGAAAAATTTAAAACTTACGAAACAAATATAAAGCCATAAAAGTAATGAATTTTACTAGATTTAAATCCTCACTTTTTTGTTTACTTTTATGTCAATGATGGTCAAAGTCATCTCTGTATTTTTTATTTTTGTCCATTTTAATATCTGTATTTTCATAATTTCTATTTTAATCTACATATTTTTAGCAAAAGTGACTTTAATGGATACGTTGTTTACAAAATCTTAACACAAATTATATACCAACAAAATCTTTAACGGGTTGAGATATATTTAATTATAATTTAGATTTAAACGAATTAAAAATTAAAAATAGAATTTAGACGTTTCAATTTATTCCCTCAAATTCCTTATTTAAATGCCCTTTACCAACCTCAATCCACACTCCTCCACTTCCCCACTCCTTCTCCCTCTGCCTTCGCTTTTCTCTCTCTTCTCAGCAATGGCCGCCACGAAGCTTTCTCTCGCTCTCTGTGCCCTAGCCGTCCTGGCCGTCAATTTCTCCGGCGTTGCGCCCGCACACGACGCTCCGCCGCCGGCGGTGGACTGCTCCAGCCTCATTCTGAACATGGCCGATTGCCTCTCCTTCGTGTCCAACGACAGCACCACCACCAAGCCCGAGGGATCCTGCTGCACCGGCCTCAAGACCGTTCTCAAGGCCGACGCCGACTGCCTCTGCGAGGCCTTCAAGAACAGCGCTCAACTAGGCGTCGTCTTGAACGTCACCAAGGCCCTCTCTCTCCCCGCCGCTTGCAAAGTCTCTGCTCCTGCTGCTGCTAACTGTAAATGTAAGCCGAAATCGTAATCGGAATCGAAATCGTAACCGAAATCGAAATCGAAATCGCTTTGTTAATTAAATTCTTCTTCGTTCTCTCTGCGAAACCCTAGCGAAATGTGTTTCTGAGTGAAATCGATTTTTCTGTTTTGCAGTGTCGACCTCTCCCGCCGGTTCTCCTGGTACTATTTCTCTTAACGATTTCCGACTAATCTGTTGATTTAGATCTGGATTTTTGAATGTTGTGGAGAATTTCGAAATGTTGTTTGGTAATTCTGCTGTTTTGTGAGTGTTGATTTGATTATTTGTTTGAATTATCGTTCGATGCAGCGCTCACGCCGAAATCCTCGCCTGGACCGTCGACTGCTGCGGCGCCGGAGATCGGCGCCCCGACGACGAGCGAGCCGGCTCCGGCTCCGGCCCCCGGAAAGTCCGCAGCGTCGGCAGTTTTCGTCTCGGTTGGATCCCTAATCGCCGCCATTGGTGCTGCTCTGTTCTGCAGTTTTTAAGTGGGAATACGGTGTCGTTTTGGTAGGCAGAGAATTTGGGGGAAAATTGAAATTGAAATGTTAGTGTTTAATGTGGATGGAAATTTGTGGGAGTGTTTGGTTTTGGTTTTGTTTCTCTTGTGGTGGCTGTAATTTGTGGTGTGTGACTCAAAGCAGATTATAAAATTCATTTTTTTTACTGTCTTTCAAATCCACTCAAATATCTTTATTTATTTTTTGTTGAAAGACTTGAATCTTTTTATTTATTATTTTGGTGGTTGAATTTTTATATTTCTTTTTCACTTTTATAAATGAAATAAACTAAAGTGTATAGAACAAAATATTACTTTTAAAATAAGATTTAAATCAAGTTTGCCTAAAAAAATAACAACTATTTCCTATTCTATAAAGTTCAAATTCTACACTCAATTTTTAAATTTGTTTAAAAAGAAGAAAATGGAAGCATGTTGGAGAATGATTGTCAAATAGAGGTATATGTGAGCATGTGGTTTCAATTATACCCATGAAACGTGGATAAGTTTAATTATAACCTATATTTTTAAAACTCTCATTGTTAACCTTTTAAAAGTTCAAAAAGACATTTTCATTAGCTTTCCTAATTCCTAACAAATATTATTATTTTGGAGAAAACAAGATATTTGAAATTATATAATTTTTAATATATTATATTTTTCATGATTTTAATAAAAATAAAATGAGTTTATAATTAATGTAAGTATTTTAAAATTTCAAATTCAAAAAAATTTGAAAATAAATTTACATCACAAAATTCAAAATAGTTAAAAAAAAAAAAAAATCTAAATAGAAGACCGTAGCTTCGCTTTGGCTATGCAGTTATAGTTGAGGCTTGGTATTTCTTTGACTTTATTAATATGTGCTTTCTTTTATTTTTACCTCGACTTAGACAATTTTAAGATTTTTGTTATAATAAAACAATTTTAAGATTTTTATTATAATAAAACAATTTTAAGTATTAAAGGTTAAAATTAGAATTTTGAAATAATAGAGGCAGGATTGAAATTTGAAATTTATTCAAAACTCCAAGGACATATTTGAAACTAGTTGTGCCTTTTATTAGAACGGGAACTCTGACCCTGATGGTTTATTTATCCTTAATATTAATTTAATAATATATTTTTTTTATGATTGAGCTTCTGTCCGTTTTCAAATTATCTCCTTTCTATCACCTTCATCTTCCTCCCCTCCGACCGCCGTCTAGTCCTCGCCAGCCGTCACTACCATCATCGTCAACTTCCGGCGACTTTGGCCAAAGATGAAGAGGGAGATTCAAATCGGGAATCGCTCCGGTGAGCTGATTGTTCTGCAAATACAGAGTAGCCAAACGGGTCAGATTATTAAACCCAGATGAAATCTCCCCTAAAATATTGTCGTCCGCCAAATTCAACAGAAGCGCCGGAAAACAGAGTTCCCCTGCAGGCTGAGATTATGAAGCGCCTGAAGATTCCGGAAATTCGCCGGAATCCGGGCGAACAGAGAATTAAATCGCAAAAACAGAGTTACAAGCCCCACCGGAAGTTCGCCGGAAGATGAAGCTCGAAAACCCCATTCCGGTCACAGCGCCGCCCGGTCGGAGGCCAGATACGGCTGGACAAAACCCAAAACCACCATCGTGAAAACTCCTCGCGGGAATCCATTAGGGAGCTCCATTCTTGCACCAAATTGAACAGAAAATCGCTAAGAGTACCACACGGTGAAAGAAAGGACATAATTTGAAAAAATAAAGAGTCAAATCAGCAACAATTATAGCATCAAGTCAACCCACGGTCAAAATAGTTTAATCACCATTTTTCAAATTTTAGACCAAAAAGTATTATTTTGAAATTTTAAAGACTAAAATAAATACCTCCTCCGAATTTCATAAACTAATCATATTTACTTTAAAATTGTAGACACCAAATAGACCTTCTATTTACTCCACACAATTGAAATTTCTTTTTCTTTCCTCACAAAATTTTGAACTGTTTCATTGAAAACTCGGATTCACTAAATCAAATGGATTAAGCAAATACGCGAATTATGTGATCCAAACAATAGAAATTTTGAAAATGACTTTTTTATGTTTTCGGTGTTTTCAGATTCAGAATTTAAAATTTTTAAGATGCATAATTACATTAAAAAGAACAAAAACTTTGATAAATATATTACTTCGATTATAAACTCATTTTATGTTTGTTAAAATTAAAACATGTAAAATATAATGTATTCTAAATTATATAACAGTGTAAAATAATAATTATATAAAATTTATAAAAGATGTTAATAAATTAATTAATATAAATTTAGATTAAACTAAAATTTAATTTGTAACTAGTTCTACTTTACCAATATATTACTAAACACAATTGAATAATTTTTTAAATTAAGATTCAATTACCAAATCTGCTATCAAATACATATCTGAAAGCACTGAAAACAAAGAATACAACTCTGTTTTTCAATAAATCCATCGTTCAATCAAACGTACCATTTATTATTCTAGAAACAGTAATTATGATAAATTTCCAGAGCTTCACCGGTGAACTCTCCTCCACATGGCACCAATCAGCCGTCCTACATTTATTATTTAGTACTGTAATTGTAAAAAAAGAGAAAAAACAAATAAAATGAAAAATAAAAAATAAACTGAAAAGAAAAAAGATAAATTACGGATTTGGTCGCATCGGAAAGAATGATCTCCCTTTGATTCTTCTTGTCGTTTTAAAACTCTCATTGGATAATGATTTTGTTTTAGTTTTCAGTTTTTTAGAATTATGGTTCCAAAAAGACTTCTCTTTTGAATATATATATGTAAGTTCTTAGTCAGATTTTAAAAATAATATCAAATTTTTTAAAACTATTTTTTTCTTCAAATGTGGATCAGATTTTAAAAATATTTACAAAAATTGTAGTCCTGCCCTAATACTTGCTGGTTCCATTCATATTTTGACATATTATTGAGTGATATATTACTTAATTTGATACGTCCCTCACTATCATTAAATATCTTTTAATCGTCAACAATGAATGAAGCTAGTATGAAAAACTTTGCACAAGAATTTTCTCCAAAAAAAACTATATAAGAACACAATATTTCCAAGCTTATTTTTTAAAAATAGAAAACAAAAGACGAACTTAATTTTTTATTTTCTATATTTAAAAATTAAGTCTAAAAACACTACATCATTAATGATCTACTTTTAAAAAATATTTTTGAAAATCTAAGTCAAAATTTAAAACCTAAAGTAATAGTTTTTGAAAATATAGTTTTGTTTTTAAATTTTAGCCGGATTGAAAAATCAACCATAATTTTTAAATATAGACAAAAATTTTGGCGGGTGAGCTATACTCACTTAGACAATTTAATTCTTATGCTTTAGTCATCAAATCTTAAAAAAATTCATTCTCACTATCACTATCATATTGAATACATGACATTTTTTTTATAAATTTATTTGGTAATTAGACATTAAATTTGTATCGCTATGTCAATATTTCTATTGACATTATTTCCATAAGTCTATAAAGTTCGACATCAATACTGGGAGCGAATCAATATTTATGTCTTTTTAGTACTGAATCAATATTTATGTTATTTCATACAGAAATGATGAAACATGAAAATATCAATAATGTAAACATGATATTAATAATAACATGTTACCTGAGTTAAAAGTGYAATGTAATAATAAAATGTTAACTTAGTTAAAAGTGTAATGCTTATTTATGAATTTAAAATTTAACTGAAACATCATCGATATCCATATTTCTATAAAATTTGAGACAACATTGATATTTAGAACTTTAGTAGCCTATTTGAACCACTGTATTAATTGATTAGATTAGAGTTTAGAAATCAATAAAATCAGAAAAAATTGATAGATTTTCAAGTAATTAGTAAAAGACCATTTAGACACAATTTGTGAGAATAAAACAAATCATTTAAGTACCAAATTAAAACCTTTAAACCTAAAAATCAAATTGAAATAAATCAAATTGAAATAAAGTTAAAAAATAAACTCGATTATTACCTTAAAAAATTATTTAGTGACCCACATATTAAATTTAATAGGTAGCTTTCTTCTTCTCTTACTCTTAGGTCTCCAAATTGCAAGATGAGAAGTAGTTAGACAAGAGTTATGGGCTGCCTCTTATGGCCCACCATTTTTTCTTAGGCCCATTAGGCCTGCTCGATGCTACAAAAATCATATATAGTTTATACACCATTTTAACTAATACATTTATGCACACTCCTTACACAAATACCCAATTTATAGGTTTCCTTTCAAAAAAATAAAACTAGATTTTATTAAAATATATATATATACACCCAATTATCTGTCAAACTCTTAATAATATACCAAAATATTCTTTTTAGTTTAAATCACAAAGTTTTGAAGGATCAAACCAAAATATTCAAAAAGGAATTCAACCATGGTAGAGTTAGGATCAAACTATCGACCTTAAAAATTATAATAGATGAATTTGTTGGAATTAATTTAATAATTAATTCATATGTGGGTAACAAATTAAAGAGCAATTATATTTGGGCTATTTAATGGGCATAATGGACCCATGACTTCCCATTTAGGTGTGGCTTGCTGACTAGAAATCCTAGGGAGATTAGGATTCGACCTCTATAAATAAGGAAGAAAGCTACACCTTAAAGGTACGCCTAAACACCATACTCTCCACACTCAACTTCTCCGATCATTACTAACTTAAGCATTGGAGTCCGTGTGACAAAAGCCACACCGGTCCTAGTGCTATTCGGTTTTGCAGGTCATGTCGATCCCTTTCATACTTTGAAGATTGGTGCAAATTTGACGAGATTTCAGGAGACCAAATTTCTGGATCACATAACTAATCCTCTATAATCGGGTTATGGAAAACAAATTTAGATCATACATTTAATGGAAAAATAGAGAATGTAAGGGTTTTACAAAAGGAAAACATGATTTGAAAAAAAAAAGTTTTAAAATAAGTTGCAAACGAGAAGCTGTAATCTGAATGAACATTACCCCTTCTCCCTCGAGCTTAGGGGAGTAAAAACTCTCGTTCTATTCCACAATAATGTGTGATCACAAGTTTCTCCTAACATAGGAACAAAAATGATAAGAAGAAGAACATGTTGAAATTTCATAAACACTACAAGAAAAAGACTTTCACAAACACTTTAAAAACGTTGCTAAAAAAT